TTCCCTCTATCCGGCGCCGGCCTCTGCCATAGGTCTCCTCCTCCCTGGGGCTCTCCAACAATGAGGGCCTGCCTGGATTCTCCAGGCCGCTATTCAAACATGCGCGCCGCTTTTTTTTTTTTCCTCTTTCTCTCCCCTTGTCCAAAGCAAGCCGTCCCTTCTGTTTCGAGAAACGGTCGGCGGGCTTAGCGAGCACGACAGAGCACAATGCCGCCCATATTCCTGCTCAAGGCCTCGCGGCCCTCCATCATGCCCTGGTCGGTCATGAGGAAGATGCACTCGCCGAGCTGGAGGCCCTTGACGAGGCCGTCCTTGCTGGCGAAGCCGCGGACGACGCGGTGCAGGTCGATGGCCTTGATGTGGATGGGCCGCTTGGGCTTGGTGACGGTCGTCATCTTCTTGAGCACGGGCTCGTTGTTCCAGTACTTCATGCCGAGCCAGAGGCGGCGCGTCGCGGCGTTGGCGTGCGTCGCGGGGCGCCGGCGGCGCGGCGAGCTCCTGGGGCGTCGGCGGCTGGGGCCCGCCGCGGTGCACCGAGGAGATGAAGCCCGCGCGGTGCAGCGCCAGCGCCAGCGCGAGGTTCACCTTTGTCGCCGGCAGCGAGGTCAGGCCGAGGCGGGCGTTGGCGACGTTGTTGAGGTGGGCGCAGGCGTTGATGGCGTTGCCGATGCCCATTTTGGCGGGTGTCTCTGGGGCGAGGGGAAGAGGCTGTGAGAGAGGCTTTGTGAGAAGTAGGATAGCGCTGGACTGCTTTTTTGGGCGCTGCGAGTCTGGCGCTGTCGTCGGGTGTTCGGTGGGTGGTTGTCAGGTGGAAAGGAGGTGGCTGCTGGGCGGTCAGCGATTGGATGAGGTCGTGAGATAGGTGAGGCGACTTCGTACGGATAAAAGGTCCGTCCAGTAGCTGCGTCTCCCCTCAAATGAATGGCTCGACGATGAAGGGATGTAGGACGTGTAGCGGGTATCACAGAAACGGGGTCAATGGCTCGCGTGTCGCTCCATGCCGTGAAGCCATCTCCAAAAATTTGGACCCAGGTCGAACGCTGACTAAGGCACAGCGGTCCTCCACAAAAGGCACCAAGGGCCCGTGCATGCCTCCTGCAGCCCGATTCCCATCACGAGGCGTCTGCCCCTCACCATTGGTCGCTGCTGTGCACTCTGAAGATCCCATAAGCGCCGACCTGGCCTTGCTGCGACCGCCTGCGCCAGCCATATGCACATAAACGCCCGCCATGCCGGGCCTCGTCAGTTCCGTCATGGGGTTTTCCTCTTCTGCTGCTCTGCTACGAAGCTGTGGGAGCCAAACCCTGAAGCCCCAAGGCTATGTGCGTCCGACTCTGTGCGACTCCCTGCCGCTGAAACCACGTCCCGACAGCTTCCCAACGGCAGCCAGGCCTGTATCGTCCTCAACCAACAAGGCGGGGTAGAGAGCCAGGTAGCTTGAGCAGCTCCTCAGACAATTGCGCGGCATCCAGCCTCGGGCTATCTTTTTCTCTCAAAGAGCCAAGACGGTCCGTTTCTATCTTTGTCCCTCGGCTCGTTTGTGCTGCGCCTCTGGCGAGCAGCAGGCATTGGCAGGACAATGGCGAACCACCCAGGCGAGGAAAACGTAGCGACGCTGTAAGTCGGAGAGTTTATTGGAGAGCAAGCTCAACTCTACCCTCTTGCTCTTGCTCGACACAAACACCCATCCAGAGGCCATGGCTGACCACGAGCTTCTGTGCAGTTTTGGAGACATCCACTACTTCTACGGTCCTCCCGACCACAGCCCGCCTCATCACCGCTTCGACAAGGGCTCCTACGTCTACCTCTTTGAGAATGCGAACGACCGCCGCGCGCGCATCGAGATTGCGAACAAGGCCGGCACCGAAGAGCAGGACTCCTTTGACGGCTGTAAGTGTGCCCACCCGCCAAAGTGGCTGGATCCCTCATCTGACGGAAGGACAGTCCTCGATAGGACGCAGGTCAAATACTCCTACCGCCACCAATGCCTCGTCTCCTTGACGGTGGGAGAGGCCGGTGACCCCAACGAGGGACCTCCCTGATCTTTCGAACCCCCTCACCAGAACAAGTACCACTACC